CAGTGACAAAGCAGAAGCGTTTTGAGCTTCCACAACAAAGTGCGGCGACGCGCCTGAAGTTGTTGAAATAAATGCAGGACTTGCCAAAGGTTTTGTCCTTCCTCCTCCTCGGTATTGTTGTTGTCGCCTGCCCCGGCTGCGCCCGGGAGCTGTTTCTCCAGAACGGGAGCCATCTTCTTCTTTCTACAACCACAAAGGCGAAGGCCCTGCTTCTCTTCTCCACTAAGCACCGCCTTCAGGGTGCGTTACATTCGTCGACTCCTACGTCCTGCCGGGGTCCCCTGAACGCATCACTGCACGTCAGAACGAATGACAAAGTTTGTAATGATTTGTCCGGTGCTTATTATTATTATTATTATTATTATTATTATAAAGATTGTTTTAATTATCAAATAGCATGTTCATGAGGACTTTTCACAGGGAGACTATTTTTTTTAAATTCAACAAGTGGGTTCAAACCAGGAAGTAGTGGGCTAGTGTTGGCCACATCACAGTTAGTGCTGTAATGTCAGTTTTTCTTTTCTCCATTAACTTGTTATTTATGACCAACACAACTAAGACCATATCCGATCATGCTTTCATAGAGTAGGCTAACCTAAACGTGGCTTTGTGTCAGTCAGTGTGAATGCTGCTTTAAGTAGCACAGACCAGACTCAGTTGTTGAATATCAGCTAGTTCAACACATGTGGGTTCCCAAACTTCTTTGGTTTACGACGCATGGCCTACAGCTTTTTGCTGAAATGAATTTGTTTTCAATCATGAATAGTTTTTCTACTGTGTTGCAAGTAAACATTCAGTTTAGACTACATTAAGGTTTTTTTGTGTAGCCTATATTTTTGTGGACAGAGGAAGAAAGGCTGGGATGTCATTTCTGCAAAAATGGATGAGAGACAAGAGACTCTCTTGTTTTGGCATTGGTAGTAGCCTGTGTTCAATGTATTTAAATATACAAGTTATTTTGAATTAGATTCCATGCAACTGGGAAAACCCGAATAGGCATATATATATATATATATATAAGATAATCCTTTATTTATCCCACAACGGGGAAATTTACATTGTTAAAAGTTTGCAGTTTTTAGAAATACTGTTTGGTTCGCTGCAGGTTTCGTCATTTCCAGCTTTCTCAATTCACATTATGTGTTTCTTTTGCTCATCCGCACCTCATGTAAGAAACAGTGTAGCCTAATTGTGCTATGAGGGGGTGTCATGGTTGCAGTCTTATAAACACATACCATGAAGGTATACAGTTGGACACACATGAGCAGCTGTAGCCTGTAAATGAACAAAGATCGCCCAACAGTTAGTATTGTAGTGCCACCATCAGTCTAATGGTTGACTTACTTTATCTAAAGTCACCTCAGGCCTTAAGCTTTGGGACATTTTCACAGTATCAATCTTTGTCTACAGAGTTCCTTCCTAAGATGAGTTATCATTTAAGAAGTGGGGGGAAAAAAGACTTGGAAGCCACCATTAAGTGTATCTAAAGTCCATAGTGCAAAAAGGGAATGACCTACAAACCTTTTTCTGATACAACAAAGGTCATAATGTGCAAAGATTACTGCAGCAAATATAAATGCAACAAAAACAAAAAAATATTGTCTGCACAATCCTCAAAAGTAAAGCAGAATGTGTATGGTGATTAATGAATGGTTAGCAAATGTAATTTACATCAATGATAACTAATGTTTTCTCCAAAAAATAACAATTTGACTTTTGCGCACAAAAAGTAAATACATATTGGAAATATACTGACATTAAATGCTAAGTAAGTAACATATTTCATTACCAACTTCACCCTTTAACAGGAAATAGATAACATTTTAAGACTTAATCAATACAGAGAAGGATTTTCTGCAGAAGGTATCGTCAGTTATCAAGTCTTAAAGACAGGACTTTTTAGAAAAGTTAAATCTTAGCTCATATTAAAAGCAATATTGTCTTATACTGTGGAGATTTTCATTGTATTATTTTCATTCATATAAATCCACAATATGGTTATGATGAGAAGACAAGTGTCCAGTAGAGGGCGCTATTTATCTTCTGTTGAAATTGAATGGATAGAAATGACAATCAAATCACGACTGTAATTAAGAAACAAAACTAGAACTTCAATGAACTTGATATTTTTTATGGCATTTATCTTAAATTCTCATATATAAAATTATACCAAAAATAACATTTTATTTAACCACTATGACACTTTCTAAGTCTTGATTTTCAGCAGTCAGAAAATTAGCATTGATTTGATTTCTGCAGACATGTCATACTTTGATAATTAATTGTCTAACGATGATGGTATTGACACTGATGTATTTTTTTCAGATGCTGAGGTATAGTTTTCCATTGACTGAAAAATCCCAGACAGACTGAGCTATAGGCCAAAGCACACTTATCGACTAACCTTTAAAGGAAAGTATGACTTTAAAAAACTCTACCCATTTTTTTTACGAGTTTGTTACACATAACGCTATATGGTTTAAAAAAAAAAAAAAAGCCAATTCCAGCCAATACTTAGAGGCATTTCATTTTGAGGAAGCTTAAAAATTGCAATATTTCCTGTTGAAATTTGGCTACAACTTTTGAAGTCAAGTTCTTGTAGGTTCAGTCATGTAAAGTTCCTGACCATGGGTCCACCTCCACAGAAACACACATCTTTCTCATTCCTACTCTTCTCTGGCAGTGAGCTACCCATTGATTTTAGTAGCTCAGAAAACCTGTTTCTTTTTTTTCACCTCTTCTTCAGTCTTTGTGTCAGTCTAGCACAACAGCACCAGATTTGTAGACGGATGCATTTTGAACATTTACACGATGACCCTGTGGGGTTATCCAAGGCCTCCCCATAAGTAAGTGCCTCCTCAGTCTCTGTGGAGGAGATCGGTTGAGTTGGATGGTGGTCAATCTCCCAAGAATGCATTCCTGAGCTTCTGCATCATGTGAAACCCAGCTGCTGCTACTGCCTCTTTGTCACTCTTTAGCTCTGCTGCCAGCAGGAAAAACAAACAAGGTTGATCTTTGGGGAATCAGGAAGGCAGACAAATTGGCAGCAAACATTTAAAATTCAAAACTAGGTCAAAGAAGATCAACAGAAATGTTTTGTTTTGAACCTATGAAAGTTATAGTCTTTTGTTTGTTTTTACCTTTTCTTCAACTCTTAGTATTTTCTGTATATTTTTTTGGATATGTATAAAATAAACCAAAAACATTTACAGAGCCATGAACAGTTTAATTGAGTACCTCAAAAGTGCAGTCTGCAAGGTATTTGCAAAAATACATCATTTGTTGTAATATTTAATCAATATATATCATGAAATCATGAAACATGAATGTTTTAATGCTCATCACAGGGTGTCTGTAGACAGTGTGTTGTAGAGCCCTTGTAACAGGAGAGGGTGCTGTCTCCTCAGTGATGCTGTCTGTCTGTCTGATACTCTGTAAACAGAAGTGATGAATGTATTTATTTTTAGTTCTTTGCATGGGAAAAACAAGACTATTAAAGTAAATAAAATAGAATATAGGCCATTTTATACAACCAAACCATTTGAATGCATCACATCAAGACACATTCTGAGTTTCAGAGATTTGTCTTTTTAAGTTTAAGTACCTCAAGTACAATGACAATATGTTTATGTGCTGAGAACAGTTTTGTGTTTTTCAACAATGTCGTAGTCATATACTGTATCATAAAATATATAGGCCTAAGCAGTATCCATATTCTAAAATAAGTATAAAAGCCTCTTTTAAAAAAGTCAACTAGGTCTCAAGAAGGACAAATTAACCTGTTTGGCAGCTTTCCAAAGACACAGCAAATACCAGGTTGTTGAGTTTTGAGTGATGTCATGAGAGTGTTTGTCCAATTGTTGTGCAGATTCTGAAGTCTGTCCCCCAGTTTCACTCAAAGAAATTGTAAAGGAAGGAGTTTGTGTGAGCTTACAGTGAAAAGAGTCAGTATCTGTACGCCAGGTGAAGTGTTTCAATCACTTCACACTTTTTGATAAATGTTTATATTGTTGAAGTGTCTTCATTGTTGTGCCCCATGCACGTTTTTTTTAAATACATTTAGCACTGCAAGTTTGCAGATACATTAACAGTGTATCAATGGCATGCTGCTCGTTTTTTGTGATTGAAGCTGACAACTTGTTCACCTGGTAGGGTCAGTTGTTGAATTTCATTAAGTCTCACCCCGACCACCCTTGTCCCATTAACACTTGGAAGGCAAAATAGCAAAGAGACGCAAATTTCAGAATACTTTGCAATGGTCAGAGTGAAGGTTTGATCCTCTTTATAACCCCAAGATGAAAAACACAGTTAGGTCAATATTAATTTTAATGATCCGTGGGAAAGTACATACTTCAGACTGAATGTTTTGACTATGGTTATAATCCCTCGTGACTAAAGAAAAACACTGATGTTTATTTATCACTAGTTTTTTACAGCTCCAAAATAAATCACATTTTACAATCATATAAATTCAATTGAGCAATTTGAAACCAATTTAAAACCAGTTTGCTCCATAATTTACTTAGAATACCTTTGAACTTGTTATTCTGTTATTGTTATTCATATGCATGTTTAACATCTTAATTTCCTCGTTATTGCTGTGCAAAGTGGTATGAGCATGGCTGATTTCTTGCTGTGAAACAAAATAAGATGAAAAAAAAAAAGAAGGAATCCCTAGATAGTTTATTGAGACGACTGTGTGCACGCGCACGCGTGTGCACGTGTGCTGCACAAGTAGTTTCACTGACACAATGCCTCCCATGCATAATTGATGTTGTAGTAATACTTCCTCGCATTGCTCTTTAGCAAAGTACGAGAGGAGGGAAAACCGGCATTTTACAGAGTAAAAAAATAAGTACCATCTCCTCGTGGTCGCTCTCTGTCCGCAGATGAAGACCCGTATAACAGAGAACAGAGACAAATGCGCTGAAGTGGGTGTGTGCGGGAGAGGAGGGGTTAAAGATGGGAGGGTATAGATTGCAGACGGAGCACTAGAGGGGTAGGCTGGATTGTGATAGCGACAGATGTCTAGAAAACTGTGAGCGGGCACTCCTCACTTACAACACAGTCCTACACTGAACCTCGGAGAGCAGGGGCGGAATCTGCAGCTGTCACTCCAAAGGTTTACCTCTATTATCACACATCCAGCCGGACCTTGGAGAAGAAGAGGCACAAGTGATCACTCTGTGGAAATAACCTACAGGTCGGTCTCAACAAACAATTAATTTATTCATTTTTCATCTACCATATGTTTGGGAAATATTCTGAAGAAAAAATAAAAAGAAAGAAGAAAGGTGCATATGAGCAGCAGCTAACCCATTGTTCTCTCTCTCCTTGCCTTTCTCTTATTATGCAAATGTCTACATTTCTAGGCTGACACTGTGAAGGAAGGTTTTTTTTTCTTTTCACCGTTTTTCAGCTATTGAATTTGATTTAGTGCGTCTCCTAATGCAGTAGAGCTGTTTTTTTTATAGCAAGCATGGCGATTTTAAAGACCTCTAAAGCCAAACTTAAAGTCATAAAGTTTTAGTTTGTGCTAGGTATTAACATATTTTCTTGGTGAATTCCGTTTTCTGTTGCATGCTGTGGAGGTACGACATTTTCAAACGATGAACAAAAAGGGCAGAGCAGCTGAGAGAAGCAGAAGCAGTGGGTGGGTTAAAATGGGGGATGGAGACCCCTCTACAGCCTTTATCACTCAAGTGTCTTTAGCCGGTGTATAGTATAATTCCCCTGTTTAGGAGCCCAGGCCTCTTTGCCCTACACTATAGACTAGCACCAGTATTTGCTGCCAATTTTGCCTAACCCATTACCTTTGTCAGTGAGTAGCTGCTGGTGAGGAATCCCCATCCTTTGTTACCAGCCAACAGCATATGCTGCCTTAGCTTGAGTCTCCTTTATCTTATTAATATGTGCATATTGCCTTTTTTTTCTTCTGTACAGTTGACTTCGTAAAATGAGAATTTAGCTTGAAAAAAAATCAGCAAAAATCCACATTAAACTGACGTTAAGATTGTAGATTTTCTCATTCAACTGTACTTTCTTCTTCTTGATTTGGAAGCCATATACACCAAGAGGGATTTGGAAAAATAAGATAAATGAATACCAACCACCTGAAAAATACGGAAATTGTTAGAAATGGGTTCAAAAGTAGAATTCGGCTTCAGTTGCTGTATAAGCAGGTACAATGAGATCTTTGTGGATGGATCATTGCTGATTATTTGTGTAGGGGATGGGCAGACATCATGGTGTGTGGTGCATCCTGTCTTGGTGGCTCTATTGTAGCACTATGGACAGTTCCCATTTAATTCGTACCCACATGCTTTCTTTTAGGGTAAAATTCTTACTTTGATGTTTTAATTGAAAGAAATAGGTATAATGGAAAGTAGAAGTAGTAGTCCCATCTTTTGCCTGAGGAGAAGCATCTGTCAAACTGAAAAAAGCAAATGTATCAATTAGGCTTTTCAATGAGTGCCAATACCAATACCAATACCAATTTTGAACCTACATTCTTCATTCTGTAGAACCATGGTATGTGCTCCTATATACTAACAGGTTGATTTTTTTTTTCTGGGTCTGCTGAAACACAATCAGTAAGATAAAGTTGAACTTCCAGTTCCCTTTTCTGTCACTTGGAGGAAGTTACATTATTTGGCAATCACCAAATCGTCCTCTACTTCCACATTAGTTTTTTGTCACAAAAACATAACTGTGGGACAGTTTCTCTTTATTATTAGAAAATGCCAATGTATGCCATGGCATTCTTCGTGCCATATTTTGTGGTTACAGGCATAACTATTTTGTCTATAATGTATGGGGTGTGCCATGTGTCTGAGATGTAGATGAGAAATGTAATTTGTGGCCAATGTGTGTTGTTTGTTCTGTTGTACTGTTTGACTTGTCGGTATGTGTGTTTAAAAGTAAAAAGTATCATCAAAATATTTTTGAAAAGAAAATGCCAATGTGAATGTAATTGCAGGCTCTGGATTTCCTCTGTCAATGTGTATTGTGAAAATCACTTCACTTTGAATTTTGTACCATTTCAAGAGAGGAAAAGCTGTATATCTACATGATAGAGTTCCAAATGAAAGTCGTAGGCCTCTTTGGCACTGAGCCTTACACAACATTCCTGGAAGTGTAGAGAGTCTGCAGTGTTGTCTGATCTCAGTAAGGTTCCCATGCATTTACATTTGTTTCTGAGCCAAACTGTGTTTGGCAGAGTGCAGGTGCCTAGTTGAACTTCTAATTCACTTCCAGACAAAAGACTTCCTAGAGCCATACATGTTTCTGACAGATCACTCTTTTAAATTCAAAAGAACTAGTTAGAACCAACTCTGCATTTTAAAAGGTTTGACAGGCCTCATTCCTTACTCGTCATTTCAAATTGAACTACTAAAGTCAAATACCACAGTAATCTGCTCTATGCGTGGTAGGCCTAGTGGTTGAATGGTCACAACAAGATGAAATGAACCTGGGTCTGAAGCCACCCTGCTTTAGTCTTTTTGTGATGACTTTTCATGCCTAATATAAAAGGCATTAGGTTTCCTTTCCCATTATGTATCTGTTTGATTGGAAACACAATATTCCCTGTTGAAATTGATGTAATTCTCTCAGTCTTCAATATATAAAGTTCAAATATGTTTTTGAACAATGCATTTTTAGCATTCATGATTTAGGAACCGGTCAAATTCAATGATGTTTTCTCTTTCATTAAAAGACATCTTTATTCACTTGTTCTTAGGAGAGACCATGGGAGGCAAACTGAGCAAGAAGAAGAAGGGATATGATGTGAGCGACCCAAAAGATGCTAAAAATGAGGCCCCAGCAAAAGCTGCAGTTGCAGAGGAGTCTGCTGTAGTGGAGGCTGAAGCCGCACCTACACAAGAAACGTTGCCAGCTGAAGCAAATAATGTAGTAGAGGAATCTGTGGGGTCAGCTGTGGCAGCAACAACAGAAGCTGTACAAGCTCCAGAAGAGCCCAAATCTGCACCTCCAGAGGAACCAACCGCTCCAGTAGAAGAACCAGTTGCTCCCTCTGATGAACCAGCTCCAGTAGCAGAAGAACCAGTTTCAGCAGCTGTGGAGACCGCTCCTGTGGTAGAGGAGGTAGCGGTAATTGCAGAAGAACCAGCTGTAGCAGTTGAAACAGCTCCTGTAGCAGAAGAACCAGCGGCAGCAGTTGAAACAGCTCCTGTAGCAGAAGAACCAGCGGCAGCAGTTGAAACAGCTCCTGTAGCAGAAGAACCAGCGGCAGCAGCAGAGGAGGTAGCTGCAGTTGCAGAAGAATCAGCTGCAGCATTAGAACCAGCTGATGTAACGGAAGAACCAGCTGCAGCAGTGGAGGTGGAAGCTCCAGTTGCAGAAGTACCAGCTCTAGTAGCAGAAGAACCAACTGCAGCTGCACAACCATCTCCAGTAGAAGAACCTGCTGTAGCTGCAGAGGAGGTAGCTGCAGCAGCAGCAGCAGAGGTGTCGGCCCCAGTAGTAGTAGTAGTAGAAGAACAAGCCCCACTAGAGCTCCCACAGGCTACAGTAACAGAACCAGACATCCCAGAACCTGCACCTGAAGAACTCCCTGTAGAAGAACCAGTTGCAGTTGTCGAAGCTGTTTCAGAGCCAGAAATTATTCCTGCCAGCACAGAGGACCAAGAGCCCATCCAAGAGATTGTTACTGAGCCAGAAGTAATTGTGGTGGAGACAGTATTGCCTACTCCTGTCCCTGAACCAGAGGCAGTGGCTGAACCAGAGCCAATCGTTGAGCCAGTGCAAGAACCAGAGCCAATCGTTGAGCAAGTGCAAGAACCAGAGCCAGAGCCAGAGCCAGAGCCAGAACCTGTACCAAAGCAAGCTGAGCAAGTACTCGAGCTGGAGCCTGAGCAAAAGGCTGATGCATTGGAATCTGCAGCAGAAGTTGAAGTGGTTGTGCCGGTACCAGTAGTAGCCACATCTGACATTACTGAAGCACCCCAGGTATTGGAGACTGCTGCAGCTGAGGTCCCCCTTGAACCTCAGCCTGTGGAAGAGCCATCCATTGCTATAGAGGCCTTGAGCACTGAGGCGGCAGCTGAGCCAGAAGCAGCAGAACCTGTCCCTGAGATTGTCATCTCTGAGTCCATCTCTACAAGCGAAATTTGCGAAATTTCCACAGAGGTAGCTCAAGCCCCCGTGGAAGAGGTACCTTTCCCAGAGCCTGAGGTAGAAACCAAGATGGAAAATGGGAATTTAGAGAGCCCTTCTATTACAGAGGATGTGGTGCAAGTAGAAGCACTCCCTACTGTGAATGGAGATTGTACAGATTCTGCTTCCACACCGGTGGAGGAATGCATAAATGGTGGTGAGGAGACGCCAACCAAGCAGCAGAGTGACATTGAACTGAAAAAGGAGGTGAACCTGAGTGGGGATGTCCAGGAAGTTCCAGATTCAGTCCCCGACATAGTGGAGCCTCTCAGCACTGAGGTCACCCAGGCAGTCTGAAGCGAATCCATCATTCAAATCAGTGTGAATTCAATTGAATCCCCTGATGGCAAGAGAGTCATCAAGGTATCACAAACACAGCTAGGCTTTCTGGAATGCTGTAACCACCGCAATGTCTATAATGGTAACTCAGGCAAAAGGATGTTTTCTGTCGAGTAACCAAAAATGAAATGCAACCACTTGAGGATTGAAACAGAGAGGGAGAGACAGATAGCGAGATAGAGGAAGTTAAAGATGTGTAGAGAGGAGAGTTGAGTTTGAAGTTTGAGGGTGAGTGTTGACAAACTGTGAAACTGGATAGCAGAGCAAAAATACTGGACAGTAAATATAATTATAATTAAAAGAAGAAAAAAAAGATAAAATCTGTCTTTGTGTGTGAGCCCAATGAATATTATGAAGTGGTCTATTGGAACAGCATTCATTATTAGTATGTTATCTGATTTAGAATGTCATATATCCTTTCTATAACTATATGCAAAGTCATGGCATAAATGTTTTGGCCTTTTATAACAATGGTACCTGTGAGGAGTGTTCATTTGAAACTGATTGTTCGGAATAGAGAATAAAAAGAGATTGTTATAGCCTAAAGTGATCTCCCTTTTGTTTTTATGAATTCTCTCAACAACATCAAGAGTGTCACAACTGCTGTAAGCAGTGGGTTACTAGTTAGATTTATTGTACTCTACTCTCAGCTATGGATTAGACTCTCTCTTTTATAGAAAAGTAAATCTTAACTCAGTTAAACCCATAAAACAAAAGATAATTATTTCTTTGCAACTTTGGTTCAAAGAGAAGCGAAGGAACATTATTTACAGAACATCTTGACTCTGTTAATTTCAAACCACTTGTTGACATCCACTAGCTCTACAGTTCATGTCAGCTCCAGTGGGTCAGAGTTTGACTGATTGTGCATATGTGCGAAGAGCAGTGTCCTTTGGGTCATTGGCCACATTCAAAATATTTTGGTTGGTGGAAAATTGCCTTTTTTTTTTTTTTTTTTACCAGCCTTTGTGGCATGATTTGGCAAACCAAAGGAATTCAATGTAGCCAGTGAGATCAGCTTTCAGAGGTTTTTCAGATTTTCCTTAGCTTGTTCTCTCCTCTCACATCACCATGAGTACTGCTGAGTCTCCATGCCATTGCAGCACACCCTGCCAACATTTCGCAGATCCATACAGGCATGGGGAACCAAAGAGGGGGGAGGGGCAGGAATGCTTGCAGGAGGCAGAGAAAAGGAAGAGGGGGGAAGGGTGTACTGGGATGAAAGCAAGTGCCATGATGCTTCACAGAGGGAAAGAAGATGTCCAAAGAAGATTCATTCTCCTGGGTGAATACATTTTCAGACAATTTTACAGACTTTTGTGAGGCAAGCAGTGGGGATGCATTTTGCTTGTAGGTAATTGGGAGATAAATACATTTCAGCACCTACCTGATGCCTCCTTATAGAATGCTGCCACGCCTGCAGCTCACACCAATGTCAGAGATGAAGGGGTCTTTCTCAAGCAGGTGTTAACGTATGTACATTAGCAAGTGGGAGTAAAATGATATTTGTGTGTGTACTGTAGTGGAGACCAGGGAGGTGAGTGAGGTAGAGGGTGGTTCTTAGTAGAGTATGGTCATCCAACCTTGAAATAACTACTGGACCATGGGTCAAAGCATAAGAGGAGATCTGATAGCGATAACGGGAAGCTCCCATTGAAGTAGCTCCATAATGGGCCCATCCACATACCAACTCTCTCCAGTTTCTTAAAAACATACTCCAGCGCAGAACATTTATGAAAGGAATGTTGCGGAGAGGGTTTGGGGGCTGGGAAGATGAATTCACTGGCATGTTTTCGTCTATCTTTCAGAACTGTTTGGTCAAAATGATTTACTTCCTGTGCGTATGGGTGGCTGCCATGGCTCGCTGGTTTTAAAACAGTTACTACAAGGAAGAAAACAATTTTTGTTTTTACTAACAGATGATTACTAAAATTGAAGTCTGTGTAGCTTTAAAATGATTTTTCTTAAAGAATAATGACTACAAACTATACTGCTAATAGCCTTTTTTTAAAAGCCTAATATCATTGGCTGGGTGACACATTTTAATACATCATCTTTATCCAACAGCAAAGTGGACCCTGTGTTGGTTTACAAATCATTCATAGGTTAAACTCACAGGTATTTATAGAACCAAAAAAGCAATATGACCTTCAAACCTTCAGTGAATAATAGATATCCAGGGGAAAAACATAAAAAAAAACCCTGACCCTTCCAATGAAGAAGTGTTGCAGTTGTGTTAGCAGTTACCAGGATTACATTTAAACAACAGCTACAGCTACTTCTTCTAGCAAAATAGCTGAATATACCCTGCCTGAAGTCCTATGTTAGAGGCTCATCATTCACACAATTTCCAGTTTCAATTTCCTTTGCTTACTCTGCCTTTTATGTGTGAGTTCATTGGGAGAACAAGGTCCTTGTCTTTGCATCTTGATTTAAACACTGCCTTAAAGTTGCATAGTTGTGAAAGGCCAGCTGCACTGCCTGGTTACCCCAACACTATGTGCTCTATATGCAAGCTCCTGCACAAAGCTCAGACTGTGTTCCAGCTTCTTTTTACCCTGTGCGAAGACCAGCCTTTAGGCTTTAGCAATCCCCAACTGAGACGCAAAAGGAAAGAAAAACCTGAACTAAATCCAAAGGTTATATAATGAGAAAACTCATGAGGCACTGACCCATAACATCAAGTTTTCAAGGTCGTTGTTTTTTTTCTTCTGGGAAAAGTATTCCTGGCTTACTTACAGTTCATGTCCTTTTAAGAAACCCATCAAGATACTGGTTGATTGGAGGTAGTGGATGAAAGGGTTGTAAGAAAAGCTAATAAATGAATAAAAATAATATATAAAAAATGTACATATCTACACAAGAATATGGCTACTTCTTTATTATTTCAAGTCCTAAAAGTATTTTTGTGAATCTCGTGTTTCTATTGTTGTGTCTCAAATTGCTTTTAATGGTCACCTCAAAATGAAACTAAAACAAAAAAGTATTAACTATCTCACTTCCCGTTCGTTCTCCAAATTCCCCAATGCAATATGTATAACATATTACTGTGGTTGAGTCTTTATCTGTCAGTGTAAGCACAAAGTAATGAGGATAATACATCCCCTAACACTGCAAATTACAGACCATTTAAAATGGTTTAGCACCTGCCATATGGAACAGAGATTGTGATATATTGTTTTATTTTCTATTCTATCTTTATTTTACCAGGAAAACGTCCGTCGAGCTATAAAATGTCTTTAAAAAGGAAGTCCTGGCCAAGATAGCAGCATAATGGTTCAGCACAAAGGTCAAACAACAGTCCAACAAACAAGCAGAAATATAGCCAATGAGGTTAAGATTAAAAAAAAAAAAACCCTATACCATAATATATTTAGTACAATAAATGCAGGACTTCATAATGAGTGGTACCCTGCAGCATCAGTTCATCCAAAGAAACGGAGCTGATTAAAAAAATATCTATAAAAAAAACGTGCATTGCATGGGAGTAAATTTAAGTTTCCCCTGCCAAACCCCCTCACAACATGAAAGGAAATGGAGTAACAATGGAGTAAAAATATCCAAAACTGTTCTCACTTTTTAATATAACAAAGAGTACAGTCTGGACATGCTCTTTTTGTAAATGTCATGAGATAACATTTCTTATGAATGGACGCTACACACATTAAGATTGAAGATTGATTTGCATAAATATGTTTTAGGACTCCATGGCTCTTAGTCGGAAATAGATGAAGAGCTTTCAGGGCCTTTAAAGCATGTATGTCAGTATTAAAGACTGCAGACTTTCACTCTGCAATAAACTTGTTCTACCTGATGACAAACCTTCCTAAGGCAATATTTAACATTACTGTATTTACCTGCCTTTCCCTACCTAGAGGGCAGTTCCACTTAACCACTTCAATGTCCTTGCCGTCGCTTTGGAAGCATCTTTTAGTTTCGGCTTGATTATTTCTAAGCTACCAAACAGGGAGGGCGTGAGTGTGAGGGATAAAAGATTCTGATGAAAGAGATACTCTTTCCCTCGCTCCATCCGCTCAGCTGTCTGAGTAAATAATAAGAGTCAGGAGGCCACATTACAGCAACAGCTGATCAGTGTGTTTATTATTCAAGCACGAGGGTGTCAGAGCAGAAGTACAGACAGGAAAACACACGCATACACAAAACACGTCCATAAACAAACAACTCACTCTTCCCTTTTTCACATTCCCATCCCAGACAGACACGCATGCATTAATGTCCGATGCTTTTACTATGATAGCTGCACAGAGACTTCCTCTCTGTCCCTTTACGTTCTCTAAAACAGTCAGTCAGTAAAAGATGCACTAAGTAGCTGACGAGCTGAATGAGCTTCAGTGTGTTTTATGGATTCATCCTCAGGTTCAAACTGTGCACTTGTAAGGAAACTGTTTTTTTTTCTTTTCGGTCTGCTTAATTCTTCCTCTCTCACCCTTTCTCATTGATCTTGGTTTCTTTCTTGCACACATGATCGGCAATACTCTCTTCTCGCCTTTCTCCTCTGGACCTGTAAATCTTTTTAGCCTCTTCATCGGTCTTTCTCTCTTGTGTTCAGGCTGTGGCTCACCCTCCCACCCCCGAACCCATCCATCTGGACATGTGCGCTAATGCTGTCATTGTATCAGGGCGGGCAGAAGCCTATTAGACCGAGCCTGGCGGTAGTAAGAATCAATATTGATCCATAGGGTTAGTCTAATGGACGCTGAGAGTAGCAGTGATTCCCCTTTGTCTGCTCAAAGATCCCATCAACCCTTAACTCCTCACACATGCGCACTGGCACCCTCAACAACATACACACACACACACCTACATGCACACAAAAACGCACACAAACAAAGACGCTGCTTTCTATTCTGTCCAACTCTGCTGATGCAGCTGCTGTGCTGAGCGAGCACTTTACAACTGCACTTTTTATGTGTGTATGTCTTTGTGTGTGTGTCTGAGCATGTTTGTTTGTGATGGGTAGAACATTAGTTAATGGTATCTATGTAAACATATAAGGGCCTGTAGACGTTCAGCCGTACCTGTATGTAGTTCTAATTGTCAAGCTTTCGGACTATTAAGACAACAAAATCCAGAAGATTCAGAACAACAAACACACACACACACACACACACACACACACAAACACATTCATAGCTTTTTTTCCAGTGTCAACTAAAACCAGCTCAGAAATGTTGTTTATCAAATGTAGTTTTTTTTTTTTTAAAGAAGCCAGTAGAAGTGTGGATGGCATCTCAATTTTCATTTTGGCTCAGTACCTGCTGAGATTTTCAGCAGCCAGGTTTTTGTATCAGCAACTACTCAATGTCACACAGTTTGCAAGGTAGCTCCAAAGTGAAAGTTGAGACATAAACCCACAACCACCACATCCATCATTTTATGAAATTCCGGCACAATACTGTGTTTTTTCTAAGCAAGTCCAAGCAATTTGTCTTAGTTGGAACAGCACAGATTGTTACAGAAGACATTAACAACGGTTCAGGTCTATTCAGGTGGGAGACAGTGAGTGAGCCATCATGAACAACACC